TATATATTCTATATTATATATATATATATATTTATTTATTTATTTGAATATATATTTCAGACACACATCACAGCCACCATATCTATCTGAAATATCATTATAACCCATTGAAATAAAAAGGTGAAATTATGATAACCAGGATATGGATGTATGGTGTTTTCCTTGCCAACTGTAAACAAACTATAAACTAAAAAACTTTTTACAGATCACTGTAAACAAAGTAATTGATGTTAACATGATTAAAGAATACAAGCTATTTACCAGTGCTTGTCTGATCCCTAGGTTGTAACACTTGTATCTTTGGTTTCTTGAAGACTTTCAATGTAATTAATTCTATTCATTTGTAAGGTGATTCTCCTCATCTTTACCTGACCCAAGAGTTTAAGAGATTGAGGAAAAGACAGCTGGGGTGAAAGCCAAAGCTATAGAGGATTGGCTTCCTTGACTTGAATAATCACTGCTGTAATGGCCATGTTCCCCTCTAGTCCCGTCACATTCAGATGTCACTGAGTTCTTGCTAATCTACGGAGTAGGAGAGAACAGCTAAACCACTTCAGAACAGGTTATAAGAATTTTTACCTTATTTTGCTTAGATCTAACCAGTAATAAATATACAGTATGTAGGCTATAGAACAGGGCTGCCAATCGATTAAGGCAAGACACCCCAGGTGAATAGGATAACACAATTAAAGGATTAGTTCTTCCCAAAATTCAAATTTGCAGAAAATCTACTCATTATCAGGCCATCTGATAATAATGAGTTTGTTTCTTCATCAAAACAGATTTGGAGAAATTTATCAGCTTTTATCAGCTGTTTGGACTCTCATTCTTGACGGCACCCATTCACTGCAGAGGATCCACTGCTGAGCAAGAGATTTAATGCTAAATAAATCTGTTCCGATAAAGAAACAAATTAATCTACATCTTGAATAGCCCGAGAGTGACTAAATTTTCATTTTTGGGTTGCTATTCTTTCAACTAACAGATATCACCAAACGTCCCGTTGATTGTTTACATAAAAGATTTCAAACTGTTTTGGATTTTTACTTTAGATACATTATTTCCCAAAGGTCTCAATCAAGAAATTGATTATGGTATGTTTTACTAACTCTGTTTTTTTCTTCTTCTTCTTCTTTAACTTGTTTGGAAGCCACTCCCCTAATTGGCAGTGACACACCTGTTGCTGATTACAAGAATGTTAAAGCATGGTTTGGTAATGCTGTTCTTGATATCTGATGAAGGCCTGGATAACGGCCGAAATGTCATTTTAATAGAGTTTTCACCCCTTCAAGAGTGAGTGCTGCACCTTTTTCAATTGACATGGCTTTTTGATTTTTGATTGCACCTCCTCTATCGTTGGTAGAGCACCTCTCAGTAATTTTTGTATAAACTGTTTAGTATTACAAGTGTTCTGAAATGTTATGTTTGAAAATACAAATTTAACTAAATGTGCACTAATCTAATTTACAGAATCGAAAACTAAACATTAGATAAAGCCAGGTTTAAAATAATTACATTACTCAAAGATTTTTACAGGGGGGATTTTGAATATCTCTTTTTATCACTTCATAAATCAGAAAATACTGTCAACATTCAGAAAATAATACGTTTTTAACCATGTTTTTAGGAATAACATATTGTATAAATACAGGCAAATGATACATGAACAAACCCCTCAGTAAAATCCTTCAGAATATATATATATATATATATTAATATTAGTTTGGTGTATTAAAAAAACTATTTTTCAGAAAAGGCCTTTAAAGATATGTTTTGTAATTGAAAGTGCAAGAAACACTTAAATGTGTATTTTGGATGTTACACTACTCTGAAACATTATGGAAAGCCAAATAGCCCAAAATCTCAACATTGACCAGTGCTTGAAAAATGTTTTTGCTTGTAGTGTCTTTGCCTTTTTAATTGACTTAATGATATGACTGCAGACTCGCAAAAAAACATGAAGGTTGTTTAAGCTTAAATGGCTCAGATAATGGGGAAATCCCTTATTACACTATTTAAGAATGGATCAAGGGTATGATTACATGTGTTTACACCTTGCTTTGTATATAGTAAATTGCTCACAATTAAAAAAATGGTACCCTAAAATGAGGATTTTCTCATTATTTATTCACCCTCATGTCGTTGCAAACCTGTAGTTTCTTTCTTATGTTGACCACAAAAGAAGATATTTTGAAGAATGCTGGTAATCAAACAGTTAATAGCCCCCATTGACTTCTATAGTATTTTATCCCTACTACGGAAGTCAATGGTGGCCAACAACTGTTTGATTACCAGCATTCTTCAAAATACCTTCTTTTGTGTTCAACATAAGAAAGAAACTTATCCAGGTTTGGAATGACACGAAGGTGAGTAAATTATGACAAAGTCTTTATTTTGGGCTGAGCTATTCCTTTAATGTTATAATTTGACAGCCCTATATAAACTTCTTATATAAGTTTACCCATCCTCTAATAACAATTTAAAAAGTGCTTTTGTTATATGTAAATCACATCACTTTGGTCAAATACACCAGAAGCCCTTTCCTAAATTTTTCAGCAACTGAGATTCAGAGCAGCAAGCATCCATTGTCAAACAGGGGCCATTTCCACTCCTGTGTTTGTTTGTGTCTGAGGAGCGGAAGCCTCTGCTGTCCCGTGCGTGCCGTTGCTCTGGGTGACTGGGGGTGGCCTGTTCTCTCCGTTGCGGACGGTGTCGGGGCAGTTCTGTACAAAGATGATCCTGTTGAAAGCCTTCAGCCTCCTCCAGAGCTGCAGGTAGACTTTGCACTGAATGTACATGAAGATGAGTCCTCCAGAAAAGCTAACCGCCACCACGATGAGTTTGGTCCAGAACGGCCAATCCAGCACCCCTACGGCATTGAGAGGGGACAAACGCACCAATGCTGTGTGTGCAATGACAGCATGGCATAGAATTACAGCACTATATTATATTATCTTACAGCTACTCTGAAGTTGAATTACTTCTCACATGGCTATACGGTTCAAAATTACAGTAGCCTACTACATCATTGCATTAAAAGCTGCAGTAAATAATTTTTTGTTTCTCTGGCTCTTATTTGTCCCAGTTGTCTTGGACTTTATATTGATACTTACTGGTCTAGATGAATTCATTCTTTGTTTATCGCTGCTGCTTCACATTAAATAGCTGTTCAGTTTTCAGTTTTATGAGACTTTATGAGTTTTGCTCTAGAACAAAATACATGCAGTCAAATTGCACCTAAAACATAAATTCTGCTACTAGTTGCTATAGCGTAAATTAATCCATGTTTAAAAACAGGGCACCCATGGTAAAATAGTCTACCAAGTCAGCCTACAAACTGAGGTCATGACTGAACAGCTCTTTACATGAGCATTTACCAAAAAAGAACAATCTTGGATTCTATTCAAATAAAGTTCTATTCAATTTTTGGTGCACTGGAAAGGAAGTATGAAAATTATTATAGTAATATTTGAAGGTAAACAATAAGTTAAGCTCAGATCAGGGTTAACTAAAACTAAAACCAGAATGTTTTTTTACTTGAAATAAAATAGATGTTAACAAAAATAACATAAAAACCCATATAAAACTAATTCAAAATATTAAGCAAAACTATATTAGTGTCTCATTAAAATAAAACTGGCTCAGATGCTGACCAACTTAACATTCGTAACTTGAATGCAGCTTGTGTATTTTAACTTAAAATAGCAAGATATTGCAGATCATGAGATCTTAAAATGGCAGCAACTAGCTAATAAATAGTTTTTGTAATATTTAATGTTATTATATTATCTAGTATTTATTCATATTTCAAATTAGTTGTTATTTTTATATTTTAAATGTTAATATTAATTGTAGTTTACATTGTAGTAATTTTGTTATGTGCTTTTGTCATTTTTATTAGTTTTGTTTTTCAAATATTTCTATATAACTTTAATTTATTTTTGTTTCAGTTTTAGTCATTTTAACTGAGGTTTACTTCAGCTTAGACTTATTTCAGTTAGATGCCAAGGCAAAATTTCAATTTTTTCATCTAATATTTATATTTTATTTTGATTAAGCTTTATTTAGATGACCAAAAATTATTTTTAATAATCTTTTTTTAGTTAACAATAATTGTTTAGCTTGATTTGTAAATATGATTTGTATTTTGTCCTGAAGATTCTTTAGAGGTAAAATAAAAAAAAACTTAACATTAGCTTAATCAAAGCTACTTTACACGATACTGCATTACCCTGATTGTTCAATACAACATTCCAGCATACTAAACTATGACATAATAACAGTGGATACTCTTGCAAACATTAAAACCGATGCATAAATATAGGCTACTGTGTTAGTGTGTTTACCATTGTTCTTGCCTTGGCGGATCTCTTCAGCTGTGCGGTCAATCAGAACGTAGAGTGACCAGATGACACACACCACAGCAGCCAGGTGAAAAGTCACAGAACAGAAGATCTTCCGCCGCTCGCTTGTAGACATCTGTAGCTTTTCCCACTAAAAAAAAAAAAAAGAGGGAACAGGTCCAGAGCTTTATGAATGCATTCCCTTCCTGTAATTATTATTTTAGCCACAATATGACAGCACTAGGCTATGTGCATGCTGACCTTCACAATACATCCACATTCAGAATAATTAGCTCAATAAACCATGAGTTTATTGTTTAGCAGTGTTTACTAAGGCAAGCATCGCTACTATTATTGCTCATCTCCCTTCTGAACAACCCCCTAATCATTTAAACGTTGGTGTGCAACTCAATCATCATTTTTGCTGTAGGCATAAATGATCTAATTTTCTTTTTTAAATGATTGCTTTGTGCTCTTTAAATATGCTTAAAAATTATGAAAGTCACTGAAAGAGGTACACGCCATACACTGTGTCGCTATGGAAACACAGCACACTAGGGTGTGATCAAGCTTGGGAAGCAGAGATGAAAGTTTTTGTTTGAAATTATATGTGGTTTTCAATTATTTTTGGTCAAAATACAATGGTATTTTTTATATATTTTGAATTTCTGAAATGTCTCATGGAAGGGGTCTTCAACTGTTTTTCAAAGCTGGAGAACTGTTACAAATTGTATTAAAATGAGTTTTGCATTTTAAGCCTGTCCTATAATAACAAGTTTATACCATATTAATGTATTTCCAATATTATAATTGCTCAAATCAGACACCATTAAAATAATCATTAATGTTGGACAGTATCACATTCTTGTTCATTTAATTTTACGTAGTAAACACTACCGCTCAAAGGTTTGGGGTCAGTAAGATTTTTAAAATCATCATGCTTGCCAAGGCTGATCAACAAATACAGTAAAACAGTAATATTATGAAATATCATACTTTAAAATAACTTTATTTTAATATATTTTATTTTTAATATATTCCTGTGATGGCAAAGCTGAATTTTCATCAGCGATTACTCCAGTTTTTAGTGTCACGTGATCCTTCAGAAATAATTCTAATATTCTTAAAAGTTTAATTGTTATCAATGTTGAAAATAGTTGCTGCTTAAAGGAATAGTTCACCTTAAAAATGAAAATGTTGTCATCATTTACTCACCCTCTTCGGTACCTTCATGCTCCTTTCAAAGGGATAGTTCACCCGAAAATGAAAATTTTGTCATCACTTACTCATCCTTTGTCCTGTTGCACATAAAGGAAGATATTTTGAAGAATGTTTGTAACCAAACAGTTGATGGTCCCCATTGACTTCTATAGTATACTGTGTAAGTCAATGAGGACCATCAACTGTTTGATTACCAGCATTCTTCAAAATATCTTCTTTTATGTTCAACATAAGAAAGAAAATCATACAGGTTTGGAATGACATGAGGGTGAGGGTGAGTAAATGATGACAAAATTTTCATTTTTGGGGTGAATATACAGGTGCATCTCAATAAATTAGAATGTCGTGGAAAA